CGGCTACGGATTCAGTGTGATCGGTATCGGTCGCTCGCCCGACTCGACTGTGAAGAAGATCAACCTGAAGCATGCGCTGGACCTGGACAGACGCGGTCTCCTGCACAGGCAGTATAATCTGCCGCCGACAAAGGATACCATTGCGGTGCCCAATAATGGCTATGTGGTGCTGCGCTTTAGAGCTGATAATCCCGGTAAATATAATTTGTAAATAGTTGTCAATTGATTATTATAATTATGGTTTATTTGGCAGGTTTCTGGCTTTTCCACTGTCATTTCCTATTCCACATCGTTATTGGCATGAATTTAATACTGCAAGTCGGCACCAATGCCGATCTGCCACCTGTGCCACCAGGTTTTCCAACATGTGGCGATCACACTCCACCCATTCCCATTAATTAAGCTAGGCTCTAATGCAACGGCTCTAACTCATAGAAGAAACCCGCACAAAAACAAATACTGAAAGCGATGAGGACCTGCCTACAGAACGACCAGTTTGTACAAAGTTTTAGAGACAGCACAATAAGTATGTATGTATGTATGTATGTGTATATATGTATTTGTTGTAAATTATCCCGATTAGCACAGAATCCCCCGATAAATACGTTATCACTGCCGCCTACCTGTATGATACTATTATTACCTGCCTTCCGCAAAAGCTTGCCTCTGGGTGCACATTGCTTGCGCCCTACCAAAAGTTGCATCAAGCAATTATTCCCTACCCCTCCTGCACTCTACTTAATAATAATAATAATAATAATAAAATAATAAAAAATCACGCATAGTGCACACAGATGCACTAGAGCAGACGAGGTGCAATGAATGATATTCTGTATAAAAGTGTTAACAATCATATTAGTATGATTTGGATGTTTGGAGCAGCCGCCATAAATACTCCCAGAAATTCAATTTGAACTTTGGACTTAGTCTATTATTATTATTTTTTTTTGTTTGTTTGTTTTTATTATCAATTAAAACACATTGGTTTTCCTGTGGCGATCCGTTTCTGATAATTGTAACCGAAACATGGACTAGCTCCAATCCTCGAGTGTTTTGTAATATGTGTATGTATGTGGATGCATACGTATATGTATGTACAGAATTGATGTATGTATATTTAACTAATGTATGTATATAGGACCAATAATTCACACGCTGGTGCCTAGTTTTATGCAAAGCTTAACTTTTCCTGGTTTGAATTTGGATTAAGTTTGACTTTGTGTAAATTTTAAATACATGTAAAAATCAATTAAATGAATAAAGCTATAAAATAATTATTAATGTACATAAAATGTTTGTAAAAATCAAATATATATTATGCTTAAACTACTTACTTATGTAATGCCTAGGGTCTATTTTATGAAATACACTCTGATTGGCTTCTCCCAGTCATATTTAATACTAGCTGCAAATCAATAAAACGATACATCATGCATTTGTAATTGATAAAATAAATATGTTTGCCAGACATAAAACTTGTACATTTCCAACACAATGCAATATATATACCCTATATATATAATTTTATATAAACTGGAAAATCTAGAGATTTGTATAGCTTGAATTACGATACAACCCAATTAACTGCCGTTAAATTTATATTTATTGTTTAAATCAATTTTAATAAAATATGAAAAATTAAAATAGTTACACGATTTCATTTCCATTTACACGTTCTCTCACCTTCTCCATACCCTGTACCCATGGAAAATTATTTGGCAGAAAAAAAAGGTACATTGGTGCTGTACAAATATGTGAAGAGGCAGCGGACCCGATCTCGATCCTCTGCCTACCAATCTGTGTCTGTGTTTCGTCTGAATACGCCGGACAGCAAATCCGCAATACGAATAAATTCTCGTATGGGTTTGGGGTGTTGGTACACACTATTCCTATAAAAAAAAAACGTTTGTATATCGAATATGCGCAGTTGGATGGCAATACGAGGCCCTCAACAGAATGCATTCAAGCATGAGTTATTCATGGCTGGATACAGGGTATCTGCTAGTCGGGCCAGTCGACTAGAGCACTCTTGTTTTAATACAGTCTTTTGTATTGCCATAGACGTATCCATTGTATGTATGTATATCAACACAATAAACAACGAGAATCAACAATTTTTTTTTTTCAGAACTGTTTTTAAACTTTCTTAAAATCACAGCAATTGCGTGCACAAACTGATAGAATAATTAAATGCTTACCTAATAGTTGTTTATTTTTTTTGTATAATTTAAAATTGTTCACAGATACTCAACCCGCTGGATGCCATTTGTGATCGCAAGCGTGCCGATGCAATTTGCGTTTCGAATTTAAAGAACGCGAAAAAAGTGGATAAGAGCGTTTTGGTTGAGAGGCCCGATGTGAAAATCTTTTTGCCTTTCAGATTTTATGTTTACGAGCCGAAAACTCTCTTTATACCCAATACCTACAACAGATTTTTGGGTACGTAACCATTAAACAGATTGGCATTTAACTGTTTGCTAACCGAACTCATTTGCTTTGCCCAAACTAACCTGAACCAACTTTTTTGTATACTTACGCTCATGTACTACTAAACTTAACAATGCCTCATTGGGTCAACTCAACAAACTGATCGCTACCAATACACACATGTTTAGTTGTGCCTAGCGGTGACCATCTAACCTCTCTCGTCGACGAAATATCGTACATATCGCCACCGGCACCGCCACTGTCACAAATCGAGGATATACCGCCCGAGTACTTTTGCAACGGCGATAATCGACCGCCCAACTGTGGACCCAACTGCGAGTGCACGCACATGGTTGATATACCACTGGGAGCGATTGTTGAGGTTGTGCTGGTGGATGAAGTGCAGCAGGTGAACCTGAGTCATCCGTTCCATTTGCATGGTACCGCCTTTTATGTGGTGGGGCTGGGCCGGTCGCCAGACAAATCAATAAAAAAAATCAATCTTAAGCATGCTTTGGAGCTGGATCGCATGGGAATGCTTGAACGCGACTTCTCGAAGCCACCGCTCAAGGATACAATCGCTGTGCCCAATAACGGTTATGTGGTGATGCGATTTCGGGCCGACAATCCTGGCTACTGGCTGTTCCACTGTCACTTTCTGTTTCACATTGTCATCGGCATGAATTTGGTCTTTCACATCGGCACACAAGCCGACCTGCCACCCGTGCCGCCGCGTTTTCCCCGCTGCGGTGATCACGTACCACCCGTTACCTGGTATTAACCACCACCAACATCAGTTAGTGGCCCCTCTCGTTAATCATGTGCTATGCTCCACCACAATAACGATTTAATTAATTTATTAACCACTTGCTTGTCCGTAGGCTAAATCATGTTGTAATGTGCAATAGCAAGATTGGATGGGTGATATCGCCCGTCACGGGGCAAACTAGGTCTATGTTTGTGTTTATATTATGTTTATTATTATATTAATACTATTATTGTTAATGTTCATATACTTACATATGTTATTTACGTTTATGTTATGAACATTATGCGCATGTGTTCACTTTCGTCCACATATATCCACATATATGTTATATATTTAATAGAACGTACTTCTAATGTTAACCACATAAAATACGATGCAAAAAACTGTTCCAAGGCCAGCTCGCATCAGGGGCTCGCATCTGCGGCTTATGCTAACCGAGTGTCATAGTCACATGCACTAATCCTTTCGTTCTATAGTCGCTTCTGATGCGGACCATCTAATTTCGCTCATCGATGAGGTCTCGTACGTATCGCCGCCTTCGCCAATGCTGTCCCAGTACAATGACATTCCGGAGGATTACTTCTGCAATGGGGACAATAGGCCCGCAGACTGTGGCGAAAATTGTCAGTGCACTCACAAGATAGACATACCATTGAATGCAATCGTTGAGGTTGTTTTGGTGGACGAAGTGCAACAGATCAACATAAGTCATCCATTCCATCTGCACGGCACTTCCTTTTATGTACTTGGCTTGGGACGCTCGCCGGACACAAATATTAAACGGATGAATCTGAAACATGCACTGGACCTAGATCAACGCGGTATGCTAGAGCGACAGTATATTAAGCCGGCGCTAAAGGACACGGTAGCCGTGCCAAATAATGGATACGCGGTCTTACGATTTCGAGCAGACAATCCTGGGTTCTGGCTGTTTCATTGTCATTTCCAATACCACATCGTAATTGGCATGAATTTGATATTTCAAATTGGCACTCCCAAGGATCTTCCGCCTGTCCCTACCAACTTTCCGCGCTGTGGTAACCACCAACCACCCATAACTCCCAGCACCTTATGGTAGCTAGACATTATACAGTCCCATAATTAGCAACTAAGTGCGTTATATCTTTAAGATCAGTTATTTATCGTATAGACATTAACAAAATTCTACCTTTGTGATGAAGCGCTTTTTATTATCATTAAAAAATAAATGTGTAATTAAATAGAACTTTTATTAATCTGTCTAAAAGTGAGACAGCAAAACAACAACAACACTTCTCAATTACGACTGACTACTAAATATAATTTTTAGGGACATTGAGTTCAAAACAACGGATTGTAAGAACTTGTAACTATTAAACTCAGATATATATTAAACCTTGTATTCTTTCTGATTTTCAAGGTTTACATTAGAATTGTCAAGGATAAATTTGATTCAAGCTTTTGGTTCCTTATTCGATGGAACTCATTTAAAATTTCGATGTAAAATATAACGTATACGTGAAGTCCGTAAGGTACGGAATTTGTAAAAACAATTTGCATTCAAAAATAATAAAAAGGGATGTTGTTGAGAAAAAAAACGAATATCTTGGACAAATAATGTCCAATATTGAAATTTTGACATAAATTCAACTAATAAGCAAGGGTTCTTACAATAATATTTCCAAATAGATAACTGCCAAATTAAAAATGTTTTAAATTAGCTCATAAAACATCGATAGTTCCCAAAAAGTCATCGATGGTTCTCAAAACACAAAAAATATCGCTATAATCGACGGTCCTATCGATAGTTTGCCAGATCTACTTATCCCCATCTCCAACAACACTAATATCCTAAATTAAAATTAAAATATTGTTTCCTCGCTGGACTGCGGGGAATTACTTAATAAGAAAATCAAAATAAAAAGTATGGGAAAATCTGAAGGTATGTACGTCTCATGCATCACTAAGAGTCGTCATCTTTAATCGTGAATTCTATAATCATTTAAGATCGCCGCTCAAAGCGGAGTAAACGACAAAAACCCGCACGGTTTGCCTCGCCCACAGAGTCCCCGCCATCACCGACACAAGCAATCTGTGTTCCAGAGCCAATTGAAATGGCAACAACGCAGGCAGCTGCACAAATACCAGTAAAACCTACAGTGACAACCCCATCGGTGTATACTAACAAGGCTAATGAACGGACACGACCTGCGTCCAGTACGAAATCTTTGCCGGGGATCTCAACGCCACCAAGCAATTCCACGAAGAAGGTTAGAAAACGCCGTAACTCTGATACTTCAAGCGATGAGGAGCGATGGTTAAATGCCATCGAAACTGGCAAACTTGAAGACGTCGATGATGAGTTGAAAAAGATAAAAGATCCCAAACTAATGACAGCACGCCAACGTGCCATGTATGAACGGACGCAGGATGCCGAGCCTGCATTGGCGGGATTTGTGGAAGAGCTTATCGCACTTCCAAGTGGGTATAGGGAGAAGGAAAAACCTCAGACGGCCGAGGAGATTCAAAAGGCTGCGCTAAAGTCGCAAAAGCGCAAACAACAAGCCGATGAACGTAGGGAGAAAGACAAGCAAAAGACGATGGAACGCCTGCTAAAGAAGCAAGAAAGTGGCAAGCAGCGCTCAGCAGCAGCACGTAATAAACAAAATCAAAAACTCACACGTCCATCGCTTACGTACATAAATTCTTTGGATGGTGTTTACATAATAGTGCCACCAGGACAAGAGTTTCCAATACAAGCACAATCCGCCATCAAACCGCCGCCCCGTCAGCTGTGTGGTATCCCAGGCTGCACCAACCGCAAAGTCTACAGTTGCTCCAAAACGAATATGCCGCTGTGTAGTTTAGCGTGTTATCGAAAGAATCTTGCTGTTATTTAAAAATCGTAGGGTCAGCCAATTTAATAAAAATAAATGTTATTTTATTGGTTCATTAGGAAATTGTTGATAATCTCTTGCTGTTCGGACTCAATGCGCTGCAAATATTGATACTCGCTTTTCACACGCTCGAGTTCCACTGTCTGCTCTAGAATCTGGCTCTGATAAACTTGCTGCTCCGTCTGACGCTGTTTGGCCATTGTCTTGAGCTGGTTCTGTGTGCCAATTGCACGCAGTTTTTCATTCTCGACATCTTTAGCGAAATTAGACGATATTTTGTAGAAGTCCTCACCGAACTTTTTAAAAACTTGCAAGTTTCTTGAATATTCCAAGCACTCCTGTCGCAGCTCAATTGTCTGGTTGGCAATCGTTGGATCCTGGACTCGGAGCCTATAGATTTCGTCCATATAAAGCCCTGCTTTATGAAGTTCCTCCATTGTAACTTTATTCCGATTAAATTCTATTTAGTTGGTCTTTTTTTATAAATCAATGTTGCCATGGCAACCAACAATACCTACCCTCTAACTTGGCTAAACGCTAGCAGCTCCTTGCTCTCACACATAAACACTACACTACATGTTAAGATCTTTTTATGGTTAATTAACCGAACCATTTTTATTAGTCTGATTTCTACTCATTTCCTTTATATATATATAATATGTATGTATACGTTTGTTTTCCGAGATTGCATACATTTAAATACGCATCAAATATGAGACCTAATACTTTGCGCTAGGCATGGGATCTGGTGTGACAGTGACAGATGGAATATAATTGCGATTAATCTCACGGTGTTCACAGTTTTAATACATACACAAAAATTTAATTTGTTGGCTTGATTTTTTGGTAAGCATATAAACGAATATGTTCCAAAACCACAGTTACGACACTCGCGCCAAAGATCAGGAGGCGAACCAACAATGGCTGCAAGCACCGCAGTTTTGCCATCTAATCTGAGGAATTTCCAACTTAGGTATAAGTCAAGTGGGGTTGTTCCGCTTGTTTGATCGCAATCGAGCGAGGCCCGTGCGCTCTTCTTCCTCGTCGCTCGTATACTGATGCATACTGGCGCCGCTGACGCCGCCTGCACGCACGGAAGATGTGGCTTGCAACAGCTCCTGGTCCGGCGCATTGCGATTCTCATAGAGTAGAACCTGAAGAGTCTCCTCGTAGATGCGTGCTTCTGGGAACTCCACTTTAGTGTGCTTGCGATCTGTCGCATAGACAATAGATGTACAGCAGACCTCGGCCACTTTTTTGCCGTGCCCATAAAATGACCAGCAGCAAATTTCACTTGGCCCAATTACGTCCTTAATGAATAGTATTCGCTCGTTAAAGCGTAATGACAGCTTGTCAAACAGTTCAATATTCTTGAGCAAATTATCATCCGAAGTGCTTGTGTACGAGTATTTGTTGTTCTGTCGCTGTACCACCAAAATGACGGCCGGCTTCGAGGATGAACTGATCAGCAACTGTTCCTCCTTTTGCGACGTTATCAACGGTATACGGCAGATGGGTTTCGGTTCCTGGTGTGTATATAATGCCCGCTCACAGGACATTGCAAGTTCAGTGATGCAGTAGTATTTCGCTTCGGCAAGTAGCTCTGCAATCTCCTTGTTTGTCTCCGGCAGCGGCACACTGCCATCACGCAAAAAGTTTAATATTATGCCAAAATGATTGCCACAACGATCGATCAAAATCCAACCTGTTAACCAAATTGAAACATGTGCAACATGAAGTAAGCAACTATGATGGGTATGGAGACATACCTTCAGAATCTGTAAGCACCTCCATGCGCCCACTGAACATGGCACTGAGCATGGTATCATTATGTTTTGTTAGAGTGCCAATCGTCGTATAATACAAACGGCCACCCACATTTAGTTTAACGTACTGTGATGCGTGTCCCTTCAATAGCACTTTCTGGTCGCCGGACATAGTTTCGGGCTCTTTGGCATGGAGTACAAGCTGGTTGCTGGCTGCCTGAGTCAAATGGACTTTGCCATTAAAAGCGCGACCCAGATCGTCAACTTCAATGTTGCTGGATGGTGTATTTGAGACACCAGCCACGGCAACCGTGCCGATACTTCCGTTCACTGTGTCCACGCCCTTTTGTTTGGAGCCTCTGCAAACGCTTTCTTTTGCGTTGCTTACGCTCGCCGCGAGCGCCAATGGATCAATTTTGGCGAATATTTAAATCTCTTAACAAGAATATTAAAAAATGCTAGATTTACTCTTGATGCAGTCAATCTTAAAAACGTACACACATATATATATATGGATTAATACACCTACACCAGTATGAATGTGCTGATGTAAATATAAAAATGTCTTAAATGATACCAAAACGCTTTCATTCACAAAAAATACTAAATACCTCTTTAGGTATTTCTTCGTACCTTAAATAAAGTTTCATTTGTTACTAAAAATTACAGCGTAAGTACAAATCGAACAGCTGATTGCCATGCTCATCGCAAGAGATATTAATTTTTTTTGAGAATTTCACAAACTAATCATATTTGTAAGCATTGCATACTTGTTTTTACTCTTCCGAGGTAACATAGGAAGCTGTTTAATATTTTTCGCAGCTCCCATCAAAACCGACGGACAATTTATATAAAAAAAAAAAAAATCATAAATTCAAATACAACCCTTAGTTGATAGGCTACATTTCTATTTTCCGATGCATCCAAATATTGGTTCACCAAATTCAAAACACCAAAAACTGGCAGCTTCCATTTAAAAAACACTTGATACCGGCCAATCAACTTATTTTAAAAAGGGTATAAAAAAAATACTGACAATTGAATATAACTGTACCTGAGGAAAATAAATATTTTGTTAATCTGAATTTAATTTAAGTTCAAGTTAATGCTTAATGCTATAGTTTTAGTATACATACATGAACTGTATTTCAGATTTTCTACTTTCGGGCAGTTTATAGGCAGGAAGTCTCAATCTTACTGGTTTTTATTTTCTGACTCGTCACATTATACATTAATTTTAAATATATAAAAAAGTTTTTTTGGGTGAACGCATCGAAAAATAATAACTAATAAGTCTATAATTGTATGTATGCATATGAATATATAAGATGTGGAATTTGATGATTTGATTGAATTGATAATTGAACGTGAGCTAATGATTTTACGTTTTTAGAAAAGAACAAAATAAAAAGAATATATTTATGAATAGGTAAAATATATGTGTACAAATGAATATTCGTTATGTATACACTTGCATTAAATAATTTGGAAATTGTTTTCTTTTTCTTTGCTCTAAGAGCCCGCATTTAAATAGTGGTGTAGGCCCAATAATAGAATTTATGTAGATGATACGACGACAGCAGTTTCCTTCTGTTCACCAACCGATGATGGCGGGCAGCTAATGGCATCGGTGGCATTCTTTGCGTTTGCATCCTCTGGCTCCAGCAAATCACCTTCAATCTTCAATCGTTTTGACTTGCTAGTAATCTCGGCCCGGCTAGCTTCATCAGCACCAGCGTCTGGTGAAGCGCTACGTTTAAGAGCACTTTGCTCCGCATTGGCGTCGTTGGATTCTTTCTTTTCCTTAGCTGCTTCAAGGATCGCGTTTTCCGTCTCAGCTGGATTTATTGTGGATGTTAGTTCTTGTAGTTTTTGCTCAAATTTCACAATGACAGCGGTCATGTTGTCGCATCCAGTGCCATCGCCCATTGTATTTGGCGCCAAACAATTGTCAAAAAGCTATTTGTTAATTATTTGAAAACGAAATAAATATGAATTTGGTTTATTCCCAAAGACAGATGCGATCAATTAAGCTCACCTCCTCACAAATTTGCGACAATTTCTTGCTTTCATCTTTCAGACGCAGCCGCACAAAGTCGACTACCTCCCCGCTGGACATGTAATTCCATATACCATCGCAAGCCAGGACCATAAACTCATCTTCTGGAGTAATGATTAGTTTCTTAACGTCCGGCAGCGCGGAAATCATTTGTGCTTCAGCTGGCAGCTCCAAATTCGTTTTGTATGCATGATCTCCCAGAGCCCTGGACAAATTTAGCCCACCGTTAACGCGACCATCAAGGGTGACACGGCCACCTGCCTTGACAATACGTGTTGACTCCTCTTCATCCTCGGGCTTGTGATCTAGGCTCATCTCAATGGCCTTTCCGTTGCGTGAAATAACGCACCGCGAATCTCCAGCATTCGCTACATATAAGTCACGGCCGTGCAACAAACAGACAACCGCTGTGCATCCACTATCTTTACCAGGTTCTTCAATCATGTTGGCGCAGAAATGATCATTTGCTAGCTGGTCTTCATCGGCGTCATCTTCGCTAACATTGTCATCCTAAAAACAGTTTATATAACATCCAATAAATAAGAAAATCCATTTGTTAATCAAACTCTTTCTAAAGATGTTAATCAGCAGATCAGGTCATGTTATCTTTTATGACCGAGTTAAGAGCATATTGTGTATCTTACCTCGTCTTCGTCGTCGTCGTCCTCGTCATCATCATCATCGTCGTCGTCGTCGTCATCGTCATCATGACCGTCATTACCGTCAACCATCTCCTCATCAGAAGAGCTATCAGCCGCAGTAATTTCTTGGGCTTTTATCAAAGCGTTCTCGTCATAATCGGCGTCGTCGTCGGTGGACTCTTCGTCTTGTGCAGAATTGACTTTTTTCAAAACTTTTTCCGATTCCTTGCTAGTTGATGAAATGTCAGCGGGCTCTGGTTTACCGGTTGTGGAATTGTCGACACTTCCGTTTGCTTTTTTATCTGCAATATCGCTGGAACCAGACACAGCAGTTTCCTCTGATGCGGCGGGAGTCTCATTTGCAACTTTGACCACGGCTTTAGCCTCTGAAGAGGTAACACTACCATTCTGCTCAGTAGGTGCAACGCCACTGTTATTGCTTGCTGCAACTTTGCTGATGACGGATTCATCCTTAGGAGTATTACTTGTGCTAGGTGAATTGTTGGTTTTGCTAGCACTTGAACTGCTGCTGCTAACTGTGGACTCATCTTCTGGTTCCGGCTTGCCAACTCTTGAACTGCTTGGGCCAGCTCCGTCTATTTCATGAAACGCAGCTGCAGCTGCTGCCGAAGTTGAGGAACCTGCAGGCTTAGCTGTTGGATCCATGACAGCTTTATTGACCGCTTCGGCAGCGACAGCCGCAGCACGACGACCACGCAATAACGTTGGCATTGACTTTCCGGCAGCAGAGTCAGCCTTAAGCAATGAAAGGTCATGCGTTTGGGGCAGGCCTTTGTACTTCTCTAGAACCTCGTTCAGCGGCAAATTACTCTCCTCATGCAATTCAGCCAGATCTTCGTCGTCGTCCTCCTCGTCGTACCCCTCACCATCTTCATCGACAATATTGTGTTCGCCAGCCAGTATCTTTAATGTATTGACCACTGTTGGGTCGAGCAATGTTTTATCGAATCCCAGAAACGCATCTTTGAGTGCTTGCTCCAACTTGCCGCTCTTGTAGCTGTCGAGGCTCATAA